CATATACTCCAACCCTAGGATAATTCTGGGAAATGTCAGGAGAAACTTCGGGAGAATCTTACAGGGGAAATCGATTGAAAATTTCGGCAGATGTTCAAAGAAACTAGCGAGATGAGTTTTGGAATGACGTCGGCAATACTTACCGGAAGAAACGAGAAGCACGTCTGAAGCAATTACCAAGGGAAATAATTAGACGTAAAAATACATCCGGATGAAGTTGGAAGAAGATTCCGGGGAAAAAGGAGAAACTTCTGGGTAATGCCGCAAGAAACTTCTTAGAAAAGAAGGGGGAGAAACCTCAGGCAGGGAAATGGAAAAACCTCGAAATTGCCTTGGAAATCTCATCAGGACTCTCTAAAAAATATTCTCAGAACCTATTTAGATCATAAGAAATGAACTACAATCAACATGGAATTTCCCCCCAGGACAACCTGAAACATCTACTCTGAACTCACAAAATTTAATTGGAATCCTAATCAAGACTTTCTAAAAGTTCTTCCCGAAACTCCATTGGAATTTTTCGCTGAAATACCATCTTGCTATTCCTAGAATTCATTCTAAAATCTCCTCAAAATTCTCTTCATAGTTCTTCAAAGTGACTGTATCCTGAAAATCTACTCCAATCCAAGGGTATTGACATTTGTTCAAGATTTAGAATCTTGTTCTTCCAAAGAGAGGACGAAGTGTATTTTTCCGCGATTTGTCATCAAAATGGACGGTTTTTACCGATGTCCCGGTTGACTGGTCACCCTGATAATAATTAACAGAATTCGATTAAAGTACAACAACAAAATATGTTGAGGATCGAATCTAATTCCCGGTTTTCCTGGTTCAGTTGCCACCCTGAAGATCCATAAAATTCGTTGATCTTTTCCAGAGCTTCCTCAATATTCACCTAAAGTTCCCTAAATTTCTTCAAAGCTCCCAGGACTTATCTCCAAATTTCCCAACACTGCAAGTCACAACTAGAGATGGGAGATCCGCTCCCGAGCTGTTCTAAAGACCCGATTCACTAAAGTGAGCTGATGACCCGCGGTTCATTCTTTTAGAAATCACAGCCAATCTAAACCATTCAATCCGTGACTTATAGCGGAATTTTTCAAAAAAGCACGCATTGAACAGTCACAGCGTATACCAAGATGCGCGCGTAATTCAACATGTGCATACTGATCGATAGCATCAACCGTAAAAGCAAACTTCCAAGCGGTTGTATGGGAGAGAGAGAGACATATGTACATGTGTTACACGATGTTAAATTTCTACTGGTATTATCCAATGTATTTACGTACCCAGCTCTTATTTCTCCAGCATGTGTGCTCTCACCTCTCCTCGCATCATTCTCTGGGGGAGCGGAAGATCCGCACAAAAGCAAAGAACCGAAAAGCTTAATGCAGCTCTCCAGTTTAGCAGCTCATCTCCGGATCCGAATCATCGGCTCGAATGATTCAGTGAGATGACAGCTGTCGGACCCGTCCAGCTCTTCGGATCTTTTTCTCTCTCGATTCTTCACGATTCAGCTCCGGATCCGGATCTGAGCTGATGATCTAGAGCTGAAGCCGAGAATAGAGAGAGAGAAAGCTCCTCTTCGTTAATGCACGCTCTGATCTGAGTACACCATTAGACTTATGATATCAGTGAGCTGATGAGCTGCAGTTCCTAAAAATGAACCGCGGGTCATCAGCTGACTTTAGTGAGTTGGGTCTATAGAACACCTCGGGAGTCCATCTCTAGATCTGAGCTGAAGCCGAGAATAGTGGGAGCAATTTCTGCAGCACAATTGCTCCCACTATTCTCGGCTAAAGGTAGATTCCGTCCTGAGCGATATTTCATGCGCGGGGCGAGATTTTGCGAATGTACGAGGAGAGGGATAGAAGTACTAGTTGTCTCTCTCATTCCAACACAAATTCTGCTCCGCTCCGCAAATGCACGCTCATATTTGAATACACCATTTGACTTATGATATCAGTGAACTGATGAGCTGCGGTTCCTAAAAATGAACCGCGGGTCATCAGCTGACTTTAAGAATCGGGTCTATAGAACAGCTTGGGAGTCCATCTCTAGATCTGAGCTGATGATCTGGAGCTGAAGCCGAGAATAGTGGGAGTAATTGTGCTAGAGAATCAAGGTGGATTCCGTCCTGAACGATATTTCACGCGTGGGGCGAGATTTTGCGAATGTACGAGAGGGAGAGAATTACTAGTTGTCTCTCTTATTCCAACACAAATTCTGCTCCGCTCTGCTAATGCACGCTCAGATCTGAATACACTATTAGACTTATGATATCAGTGAGCTGATAAGCTGCGGTTCCAAAAAACAAACCACGGGTCATCAGCTGACTTGAATGAATCGGGTCTAAAAAACCGCTTGGGAGCCCATCTCCATATCGCGTGTGAAATTTGTGTAAAAAATTCTATAATTTAAAGGTGAGCTGAAGAGCTGTTCAAAAGAATCGACTCCCTTTAATCAGCTGGATGGGTCTGATCCGCTCAGCCAGATGAGCTATTTTGCCCACCTCTAGTCACAACTGCTGTAAGTTTCATGGATGTCAATTGAATGGAGAAAAAAAATCATCTTCAAGCGTTAAGACGCCGGAAGTGAATGTTTCCTTTGACCTCAACAGTGTCCTTCGGTTCCCACCTAAATCCAAACATCGAGAAACTCAATTGTGGATGCTTCTAGAATCGTACTCCATAAATTATGTATCACCCAACTGAACCGACCGGACGGAGTCACGGGCGTCAGCATCTCGGTCGGCGCCAGCCAAGCGAGGCTCAAAATGGCCACGGTTTCGCTTACATAACAAACTCCCGTGGTGCTGCTCGGCCTGAGCTCGCACTTGGTCCCTCTCGCCAAAAATCGATAAAATTCCAGTCCCGTCAGCCAGCCAGCCAGCCACCGACCATGTTGTGGGCTGATGTGTGCCCCGATTTGGATCCGCGCGCCTGGCAATGTGCGAACCAACGACGGACAAAGGAAAAGTTTCCTGGCCCCGCACACCATCATCATCATCATCATCATCATCATCATCATCATCATCATCATCATCATCATCAACATCATTACACCATTGCCATGGTATTCTTCCCTACGCCCTGGAACGCAGCTCGGCCCCGGACAGTTTCAGTCGACCCTCTTCGACCGTGTTTTTTTTTTGCGCCGTTGCCGTCAAATCCCCGGAGCCAGGTTTGGGCCAGGACAGGTCGTAGGAAGGAGCAACGATTTCACAGAGTTCTGAGAAACCCTCTTCTGAAACCTGTACACCACCATCACCAGCACCACCACCACCATTGCCATCATTTACGACGGCCACACGGAGTAGCAGCAGCAGCAGGTAAGCAGGCAGCTGAAACGTTCAGCTCAAGGGGACCGACCGACGACCGTACAGCCGCGCCGTACCCGAGTCAAAGTCTTCTTTTTCAGTGCATTGCTGCTGTTGCTGTCGAACCCCCCGCGCCGCGCACCGCCCGCTGCCATTCCGGTTTGGGATGGCCTCGACGCTGTGAGCTGTGCGGGCCCCGGCAAACGGCACACACGATGGCAACGGTGCGGTGTGCGGCCATCCGGTTCGGAGCATTTTTTCCCTTTCGCTTGAGAGCGCGGCGGCGGCAGTGGTGGCGACTATGGCGAAGGCGATGACGCACACGGACACGGCACAAAATTCATACACTCACACAGTTCGTGGCAGGGTGGCAGCAGCAGCCGAAACGGCAGAGGCGGTAGGTACGAACCGGGGTAAATGTGCGGTCAAATTTCGTTCCCTGCTTGGGATGCTGCCGTCTTTCGCTGTGCTATACTGGAACTGCGGCAAGCACCCAACGTCTTGCGTTGGTGGGTAGGAAGGAGACGGAGAATGTTTGTCATTTGCCATCTTGTCGTCGTCTACCTGGTGCGCGATTTAGGACTTTCTAGGAGATGATGAATTTTCAAAACTGAATCAATGCCGTTCGTGAGTCCTTTGACCCTTAGCAAAGGAACACCCTGTTGAATTCTTTATACTCAAAGTAAACCCCCCCCCCCACTATCGCAAGACATCCCCAGACGACGACCCTTCTTTTTAGCCGTGCAGAGCTAACGGCCCTTCGCACTCAAATGCCAGGAAACGTTCACGAAAAAGTACCATCTGTTATATGCTGCGAGGACGAGTCCCCTCCGTCCGTGTGCCAGCTGAAAGCCTAAGCTTGAGTTTCTTCTCATTTCCTTCTGTGTGTCCCCCTCTCCCTGCACACTCACTCACTCACTCACACCCGCCGCTCACCATCCTCCCCCATCATCGCATCATCTTTTTGGCACAGGCAGCGGAGAAAGGCCACAAACGACGACGACGACGGCGACGGCGAAAGGAAGCGCAAAAGAATCCAAGACCAAGCCCTGTGCCGTGCCGTGTCCCTTTTGGAAGTGCGTTGTTTCCCTGTTGGTTTTTAGTCGAGCGCTTCGATGTGTTTGTGTAAGCCAATACCTAGATGGACGGTTTTTTTTAGTTAGTGGGACTTCGAGGAAGGCCAACCAGAGCGAGTGCTCTGAACCTTTCCGTCCTGTCCTGTCCCTGCGCTGCAGCGGTGGCTGTGGATAGGTACATACGGCCTCGCCAACAGCAGCGGGGTAGATTTTTTCACCGTTCTCTCAACCAACGTCATCGTCATTACCATCATCATCATCATCAACACCACCGTCATCGTCAATCATCGGAGCAATGTGTGCCGAAAAGGTCATCATTTTGGTATCGAAGCTTTAGAAATTACTTTTTTATCCTGGGAAAAGGGGTGGGGTGCGGTCCTGCCAGGAAGGATTTCAGCCTGCTCCAGGCTAGGCCTTTTTGTACTAGACTGGCTTCTTGCTTACGCAATATCAAACTTCAAGAAACAACTTCTCTTATCCAACCTGCAACTGAAAGGAGAAAGGAGTTCTCCTTTCAAAATACCGGTTCGAAAATCCTTTCGCTTCGCTCCGCAACAGTCATTGTACCGTAATCAATCATGCAATGCATTCTATCTTCAACTCACCCGTGCAATTGACCGGATCCTCCGCATCGGAAACGTCCCTCGAAAACTGCAACTTGCCCAGGTGCTGATTCCGGTTGTGATCCACATCGGCACTGTCCTCCTCTTCCTCCTCGACGAACACATTGCCCACGGTGGCATCCGAGTCCCGCACGTTGAAATCGTAGTTCGGCTTCAGACCGGCTTTTTTAAGTGCATCCACATAGCGCGATATCGTGCGCAAACTTGGCAGCTGCAGTTCCCCGTCGCGAATCAACGACTGGTACGACTGCACCCCGATGGCGGCCTTCAGCTTGACAGCCGCCTTCAGATTCGGTTCCTTCCACTTCTTTCGGATTTCTTCATCCACAGCGGCGGGAATCGGCTGGGCCGGGGTACTTCCCCCGCTCTCGCTACTCCCGGAATTGTGTGCAGCAGCAACTGAGACAGCAGGATTGGCAGTAGTAGCTTGCAATTTGTCGGCCAATCGCTTCAGGCGCTTCTTGGCTGCATAGTACTCGCGCTTTACGGTGCCATAGCGCAGTTTGTTACTGTCCAGCATTTTTTTGTAGTCCAACAGTGTGGTCAGCAGTCGACTGTTTTCATCCCGTAGGACGGTTACTTCGTTGCTATCGCTGAGCACTGGCAGGATGCCGTTTGGGAGTCGATTGCTGCCGACATGGATGCTGTTGATTGATTCCAGCTGCTGGCTATGGGACAGCTCCTGATCGGAACCGTCTTCCATCGGGATGGGAGAGTCGGTCATACTGGAAGCCGGGCTGTCGTTGGACGTGGCTCTGGTGCGATCTGTGGGAAAGGGGGCGAAAATGGATTCGGTTAGAAGTCATTCAAGTTGAGCCTACGCTTGAGCTAAAGTTAAGATAAACGGAATTGGATTTAGGAAAAAATGCAGAGTCGCAGGTCAAGAAAGGAATGGGTAGGAATTTGTTGACGTGACACTTGCTTTGATGGAAGCCGAGGAGTCCTCTGCACTTCCACGATTAATCACTGGGATGTTGGGTAAGAGGGTTGGTTAGCAGCAGGGTTCGTTTTGGTAAACGATACGCTGAATTGATATCCTAACGATCATAAAACGCGAAGGAGCATGGGATTGAATCCACGGTTCTCTGCAAAAACGTTTGCCACTAGGCAAACGAGCTCCTTTTAAATCATTGAGTTGCTTTAATTACCATGTAATCGTATTAACAAATAAAACGATTGACGAATCTTGCATGTGGATGGGCCTGATAGACTGATGATGATGTTCTGCAAGCAAAAACGGTCGCTTTAAGGCCACCGAGCCCCTAATACACGATAAACAAGCGATTTGACCATAGTTCTATTTAATATTAAAGGACCTGGGACCGCGTTTTCTGCTCAGTAAGCAAGCCACTGCAACCGACGATCTTTCAAATCCGAAAACTAAAAGCTACGAAAAATCACATAGGCCTTCATTACTTTCACGCAACTAACTGGAATTGTGTCGTTTTGACTTGATTTCCCCTCTGACTCGAAGTAGCTTGAATCTTGGTGCTGAACTTTGTGTTTGGAAGCAAGTGATTTCTAGTGATGGGTATTTTTGGAACGAGGACGCAGTGAAGATACCGAAAATCAATGTTCGACGCCAGTTTGGAATCCATTGTTTTCAGATAAACTGTCAAATACCCTACAATATGGGTATTTTCGTCAAATACCTTACAATATCGGTATTGGCGGCTCTCAGATTCGGAAAAGCTATTAAATTCCCTGCAATATGGGTATTTTCGGAACATCGCGAAAATCGATGTCTGATGCCATTTTTACATCCAAGATGGCGGCCATTTACTTCGAAAAATTGTCAAATCCGGACAACTTTGAGATTTGGGCGTAATTGCTTTTGTAAACAAACACGTCAATCGCGATTTCTCATTAAAAAAGCTCAACCTTACGAACAAACTATACCAAATGAAATAAAAATCATTCCTCTACCGGTATGTGTTATTAGTTTTTAAGATTGAGATTTAATTCGCGAGAAATCGGCGATTGGCGTGTTTGTTTACAAAAGCAATTACACCCTAATCTCGAAGTTCTCCGGAAATACCCTATATTATTTTCGGAACGGGGACGACACGTAGATGCCGAAAATCGATGTCCGACGCCATTTTGTAATCCAAGATGGCGGCTCTCATAATCTGAAAAACTGTCAAATACCCTACAATATGGATATTTTCGGAACGGGGAAGACGTGTAAATGCCAAAAATCAATGTCCGACGCCATTTTGGAATCCAAGATGGCGGCCATTGGTTTAAGATAAACTGTCAAATATCCTACAATATGGGGATTTTAAGAACGGGTTTGACGTGTACATCCTGAAAATCGATGTCTGACGCCATTTTGGAATCCAAGATGGCGACCATTGGTTTCTGAAAAACTGTCAAATACCCTACAATATGGGTATTTTCGGAACGGGGAAGACTTGTAGTTGCTAAAAATCAATGCCCAACGCCATTTTGGAATCCAAGATGGCGGCCATTAGTTTAAGATAAACTGTCAAATATCCTACAATATGGGTATTTTAAGAACGAGTTTGACGTGTACATCCTAAAAATCGATGTCTGACGCCATTTTGTAATCCAAGATGGCGGCTCTCATAATCTGAAAAACTTCAAATACCCTACAATATGGATATTTTCGGAACGGGGAAGACGTGTAGATGCTAAAAATCAATGTCCGACGCCATTTTGGAATCCAAGATGGCGGCCATTGGTTTAAGATAAACTGTCAAATATCCTACAATATGGGTATTTTAAGAACGAGTTTGACGTGTACATCCTGAAAATCGATGTCTGACGCCATTTTGAAATCCAAGATGGCAACCATTGGTTTCTGAAAAACTGTATAATACCCTACAATATGTGTATTTAGGAACGGTTACGATGTGTACATCCCGAAAATCGATGCTTGACGCCATTCTGGAATTCAAGATGGCGGCCATTGGTTTAAGATAAACTGTCAAATACCCTACAGTATGGGTATTTTAAAAACGGGTTTGACGTGTACATCCTGCAAATCGATGTATGTCGCCATTTTAAAATCCAAGATGGCGACCATTGGTTTCTGAAAAACTGTCAAATACCCTAAAATATGGGTATTTTCGGAACGGGGAAGACGTGTACATCCTAAAAAAATCGATGCTTGACGCCATTTTGTAATTCACAATATCGGCCATTGATTTCAGAAAAAAAACTGCCAAAGACCCCACTACTATATGGGTATTTTAGGAAGGTGGCCGACGTGTAGATGCCGAAAATTGATGTCTGACCATTGATGTGTAGATGGATAATGTTGTTTTTTTTTTTATTGGTTTATTAGATTTTTAGCACAATGAATGGTCCCAATGTCGTATTTAGGAAGACAAACAAATTTGCGCCCAAACCGTCAGTTTTACGTATATAGTGTCTTGGGTAAAGTTTCTTCATATTCTTTGGCCGATCTATTTATCGGAATTGGTTGCAAATGCTATCATGAAGCTTTAGTGTGATAATTTATTAGCTAGAGAATGATCTTAGAAGAGGGTAGGTCGATAGTTCCGTTGGAGTACGGCAGTATGAAAATTGAATAGAAGTTGAAAATGAGCGAAGGGCCATTAATGCGACAGTACAAAGTCAAACGCACACATGTGAAAGCCTCGTACTGCGCTTCGATGAGGTTGACGATCTTATCAGGGACTCCCTTGCGTCTCAGAGCGCCCCACAAGTGTTCGTGGTTTAGTCGGTCGAAAGCTTTTTCGTAGTCAATGAATACCAAGTACAGGGACTTTCGTAACTCATTGACCTGCTTCAAGATGATGCGGAGCGTGACAATATGGTCCACACAGGATCTTCCAGCACGGAATCCTGCTTGCTGTCGTCGGAGAGTCGCGTCGATCTTCTCCTGTATCCGATTGAGGACAATTTTTACACAGAACTTTGAGAACAATACACAGTAACATGATGCATCGCCAGTTGTCGCATACAGTTGGATCCCTCTTCTTGGGGACTTTTACCAAGACATTTGTGAGGATAGCATGGGGTCAGCTTTGAGCATCTCTGCTGATATGCGATCGACCCCCGGGGCTTTGTTGGACTTCATACTTCGGATGGCTGCTTCTATCTCCTGCAATGATGGAGCTTCAGTGTTGACGCGAGTAACGCGCCTCACCCTTGGTGGATCATGCCGAGATGTTGATGGTTGGTTGACCGTTGAAACTTCGAGAACAGCTTCAAAGTGCTCAAACCAACGTTTCAACTGGTCAGTGGGGTCGGTGAGCAACTGCCCAGTCGCGTCTTTCACAGGGATCCTTGGGTTCATCCTTGCCCCGCTCAGGCGTCGTGAAACATCATAGAGAAAGTGGATATCACCAGTTGCTGCGGCTTTCTCCCCTTCATCAGCCAGGGAGTCCACCCACGCTCGCTTGTTCCGTATACAGGAACGCTTAACTTCCTATTCTAGAGCCTAATACCGCTCTCGGGTCCTTGCTCGCTCTATCGCGGCTTTTGCCTCCCTCCGCTCCTCGATCTTCCTCCAGGTTTCATCGGTGATCCACTTCTTCCTCTGAGTACGCAGCTCACCCAGGTTGTTCTCGCTTGTTTCAATAAAGGCATTCTTGATGCTCGTCCACTGTTCTTCTACGCTGCCACCTTCCGGAATATTAGCTGCGCGAGCCTCGAGTTCTTCGACGAACGATCTCTTCACTGCTGCTTCACTTCACTTCACACCCGCGCAATGCCTAGGCGGATCTCACCGACCAGGAGATGATGGTCAGATGCGATGGTAGCACTTCATGATTACGTTTAGTGGAATCAGCAATTGCAATAAAACTAGTAAATTTAAAATCGTTCGATTCTTCGTCTTTAAAATAAATAGCGTTTGCCCAATGAAAGCCTTGAACTGCATCCTGCACAACGAAAGAATAATTCTCCGAAAAATCACAGATGCTGATGTATTCTGTAGCTTTCAAATTGCTTTTGACGTGAAAATGAAGAGTTTAAGCAAGTAGTTTGAATAACAGCTTTGAAATTTAAAGAAGAATCACATGAAGTTTCAAATAACGTACCTGAAGCAGCGATTCTGGATGGTCCTGCAACGGCTTCTATGGTCACGGTATCATTGGGTTCATACAGTTTGTGGTAGCAACGTTGACAAATGAAGGAGCTACTCTCATCTATTTTAATCTTTTTTTCCACTGCATAATCGTACAGTTTATTGGTGATTTTTCTGGCACATGAACTCAACATCCAAACACCACACATTGAACACTTACGTTTCATTTTTAGTTATTCTTCGATTCAACTGTTCTAGTAGGAAACTTTGTTTTCTAACTGATAATTTCTTTCATAGCATTCCTCGCGTAACACGATTCTCTCTTTCGCGAATAGCCCGACTGCAAATGAATTTCCCATTTAGTGTGGTCTGCTTAGTGAGAAATACGTTTATGATGCCGTGGTAAACCAACGGGAAAGTCCTTGAAGAGAATCGATCAACGAGGATAGGCCCTTTTCAAATGTTACGCGAGATTCCTTGTTTTATGTGAAGCATTATATCGTACCTAGGAGTGAGTGATATACCTACGAGTCTAAGCTGTAACTCATAGGTATATCACTCGTTCGTAGGCCATGATGTCACTACAAACAGCTGTTTCAGGTAAATAGATGAACATTGCGAAGAAATTCAAACACCACCAAACATTTCCAAATGTCACTAACACCACGAAGCCTATTGGGCTGGAGCTTATGTAAAAGTCATTGCCTACGAACGAGTGATATACCTATGAGTTACAGCTTGGACT